CGAACAAACAAAAAACAACAATAACCAACTAACGAACAAACAAAAAACAACAATAACCAACTAACGAACAAACAAAAAACAACAATAACCAACTAACGAACAAACAAAAAAACAAACAAACAACAATCCCCAAAACAACATGCCAAAACCAAAAACAATCAACAGGCAACCATCCTCTTTAAGAAAATGCAAAAAACAACAATAGCCCCTCCCCCAACAAACAAACAAACAAACAAACAAACAACAACATTTCAAATGGATAGGCTACCTCACACAAACACACACACACACACACACACACATACACACACACACACACACACACACATACTCACACACACATACTCACACACGCTCACAACAACAACAACAACAAAAACCCACCATATAATAATTGTACTGGTCTTTCCCCGTCTCCCATGTGTTAAATATATCTATAAGTGAGTTATTCTTGTGTTCCTCTGCCACTTATGTCGTGTATTTTCTTTCCCCTGTGAGTGTTAGAAGTTGTTCCAAGGCTCTTCTGTCGCTTCAAGCGTCCTCGGAACGGCAGTTGTCGCTCCCGTTATTTATTGATTTTTTTTTTTAACAGAGACCGCCAGAAGCTGACTTTTTTTTCAGAGCTACCTCAATTGGTTTATTTTCCTTCCACGAAACTCCCAACAGCCTCGCAAGGGTGGGTGGTTGGCGTGTGCTTTTGATGTAGTTTACGCCTTTTTTTCCTTCTATCGAACATCTACCTTCCTTATTTCTCCTTATTCCTTTTTTGTGTGTGTGTTTGTTACTCTCTTGTAACACCCCCCTCTCTCTATCTTCGGCACTTATAATATATTATGACCTTATACTCTGTTAAGTTGCAAGTGACATAGAACTCTTTAACTAAAACGAAGTCTCTCAAGAAGGAACCACGTGTTTACTGCCTCTAGAATCTAGTTATTTTTCCCCCAGTCTAATGATTGTCCAACACTCACAGCTGTATTGGAGGGTTGACTACATACGGCCATAATAATGTGTCCTAGGAACTGCATTTGTCTAGGTGGGGGGGG